AAAAAAAAAAAAAAGACAGGCAAAAAGATTAATAAACATTTTGTAATTCTCACTACCTGCCAGTCTGCTTTTTTATGGCATTTATAAAATGTCCATTTTTCTATCCTTATGGGACAGTCTCACATACAATTCCTGATACACAGAAACACTTAAGAGCTATTGCCAATTACCAAAACTGTCTTTGATCATATGTATTCCTTCCCATTACCTTTGGTGTACAATAGGTCTAATTAACCTGGTGTAGGTCCAAAAATCATAGGCTCCTTATGATAATTTAGCATAATTCTTAAGTTTTTTAAATGAGAAACTGCAAATCCAAAGGGTTTAAGATATTTATTAAAGGTCACAGAACTAAGTCAATGGCAGAGCTGCAGTAGAACCCTGAATTCAGATTTTTATATACTACATTATTCTGCATTAATATTTCATTTGCTCATAGGGTTTTAAGTATCAATTGCAAGGCTAATGGTTTGCTCTATTTTCTATTTTACTGAAAGTTTAACTCAACTGCATTCAACTTAAGGTTCACCCAACCTTTAAATTTCTCTTTGCAATCATAATACACTTAACATTAACTAATATAAATAATAATGTTATTAGTAATCTGAAAGTAGACGTTCCTTTTTTTTTTTTTTTTTTTGAGACGGAGTTTCAAGTTGTCACCCTGGGTAGATGGGCCATGGCATCACAGCTTACAGCAACCTCAAATTCTTGGACTTAAGTGATTCTCTTGCCTTACCCTCCCTAGTAGCTGGGACTACAGGCACCTGCCACAATGCCCGGCTATTTTTTGGTTGTAGTTGTCATTGCTGTTTGGCAGACCTGAGCTGTATTCGAACCTGCCAGCTCCAGTGTATGTGACTGGTGCCCTAGCTGCTTGAGCTACAGGTGCCGAGCCTAAAGTAAATAATCTTAAAGAAAGTGTTAATCCTAGAGATACAAATTGGAGAGGAAAATGTTTATGACTAAATTAGGAGTAAGTGTTAATTTACAGAGTTGCTATAAAAATCCCTCAGGCACTGCTTTGAAGTTTATTGATTTAAACAGGCTTTTTTATCTGACAGCAAATTAGAAGCAGCACGTTATAAAGGGGAGGAGACTACTAGAACTTGAAACCTTAAGTAATTTAAAATAACAAAATGTAGAGAGAAGAATATAATAACTAGTGACTGATCTGAAACAGTTCAATAGAGTGAAGAGTTTCTTTTTTTGTTTGTTTGCTTGTTTTTGAGACAGCATTTCACTTTGTCATCTTTGGCATCATAGCCATGGCATCATAGCTCACAGGAATCTCAAACCCTTAGGTTCAAGTGATCCTTTTTCATCAGCCTTCCAAGGAATCTCAAACCCTTGGGCTCAAGTGATCCTCTTTCATCAACCTTCAAAGTAGCAGGGACTACAGATGCCTGCCACAACACTTGGCCATTTTTAGAGACAGGGTTTCACGCTTGCTCAGGCTGCTCTCAAACTCCTGAGCTCTGACAATACACCTATCTCAGCCTCACAGAGTGGTAGGATTATAGGCATGAGACACCGCACTGGGCCTTAGAGTGAAGTTTCTTATATATCCCAAAGGACTTTGAGGACATGACATTTATCCTAAATGCCTAAATTATCCTTTTTGCACCTACCAATACTATAAAGGGGTTATAATATTACAGATAACAATAACAGTATACAGATAAGAAAACAGAGGCAGAGAGAATATTACATAAATTCCCCTACATTAAAAGCTAGGGGATAGGGGATAGGAGACGTGGGATATGATTATGTCAAGGAGGTCTGCTGTATATATTGGAAAGACTTCCATTAAAAGTTTAAAATAAAAAATTTGCGGGGCAGTGCCTGTGACTCAAAGGAGTAGGGTGCTGGCCCCATATGCCAAAGGTGGCAGGTTTAAACCCAGGCCCAGCCGAAAAAAAAATCTGCAAAAAAAAAAAGTGTTTAAAAAATTTGGTGGTGGGCGGCACCTGTGGCTCAAAGGGGTAGGGCGCTGGCCCCATATGCCAGAGGTGGTGGGTTCAAACCCAGCCCCAGCCAAAAACTGCAAAAAAAAAAAAAAAAAAAAAAAAGTTTAAAAAGCTAAGCTTAATTTATCAAGAAAATATCATTTCTATTTCTGTACTATCTGTTGAACCTGTTGTTTTCTCTAGTCCCTTCTGAATTTATCTACTTCTTCTGAAAGAACTGGACTAAATGTGAACTTAATAACACTAGTAAAATTATTTTTGTGTTAATTTAAATGTGTCCAAACCATAAACTAAATATTTTTATAGCCATTATAATTTATTACTATATAATTATTCTATATAATCATAATTTTAAAATCAACATCTAAGTAAACTTTTTTTTAAACAGCTATAATCCCAGTACTCTGGGAGGCTGAGATGGGAGAATCACTTGAGGTGAGGAGTTTGAGATCAGCCTGGGCAACATACTGAGTCCTTGTCTCTATAAAAAATAAAAAATGTTAGCCAGATGTGGTGGCATGGCATAAGCCTGTAGTCCTATTTGGGAGGCTGTGGCAGAAGGATGAGTGACTGATAGGGCCACTGCACTCCAGGCTTGGCAACAGAGTGAGACACTGTCTCATAAAAAAAGAAGAAAAAGAAGGAGAAATGCTTTGTTGCTGTAGAAAACATGGAAGATACAGAAAAGAAAGGGGGAAAAGGTGGCACCTGTGGCTCAGTGAGTAGGGTGCTGGCCCCATATACCAAGGTTGGCGGGTTCAAACCCAGCCCTGGCCAAACTGCAACAACAAAAAAAATAGCCAGGTGTTGTGGTGAGTGCCTGTAGTCCCAGCTACTCGGGAGGCTGACGCAAGAGAACCACCTAAGCCCAGGAGTTGGAGATTGCTCTGAGCTGTGTGATGCTGCCACAGCACTCTACCCAGGGTGATAAAGTGAGACTCTGTATCAAAAAAAAAAAGGGTCGAGGGGGATAAAAACAATATGATTTAATCATATTTGGCTTATTTTCTTCCATCTGTAATTATTTC